GTTGCTTGATAGTGTTGATATCTTCTTTAGGAACAATTTGATACTGAGTTAACAATGTTTGTTTCGAACATTTTTTGGATGTTATAGTGAAATGGTGTTATAGAGAACATATAATATAACATAACATGAAAGATCGGTTCAGCAGAAAATGTGATTGTTATTGTGAAATGTTGTTATGAAGAGGTCTGATTGTGTTTGGAAATTTGTCTTTTGTTTTTTCGTTTGGCGAATTGTAGGATGAGGAAGAAGAGAAAGAAGAAGTTAAATTAATCAATGGAATTATAAATCCAGCACAGGGTAACCAGATTGATCTTGATGATGATCTTTTCCCTGAATTTGAAGATCTTTTATCCGGGGAGATTGAATTTCCGTTACCAAGTGACAAGTATGATACAGGAAGAGAAGAGAGAGAGAGGGTTTACCAAACTGAGATGGCCTACAACGCGAACGAACTTGAAAGATTGCGAAACCTTGTTAAGGAACTTGAGGAAAGGGAGGTGAAGCTTGAAGGGGAGTTGCTCGAGTATTATGGTTTGAAGGAACAAGAATCGGATATTCTCGAGTTACAAAAGCAGCTCAAGATTAAGTCTGTTGAGATTGACATGCTCAACATCACGATAAATACGTTACAGGCTGAGAAACAAAAGCTTCAAGAGGAGGTTTTTCATGGAACTACTGCTAGGAAAGATCTAGAAGCTGCTAGAAGCAAGATTAAGGAGCTGCAAAGGCAGATGCAACTCGAAGCTAATCAAACGAAAGCTCAGTTGTTGTTGCTAAAACAACATGTTACTGGACTTCAAGAAAAGGAAGAGGAAGCTTTCAAGAGAGATTCCGATGTTGACAAGAAGCTTAAACTTGTGAAGGAGTTGGAAGTGGAGGTTATGGAGCTTAAGAGGAAGAACAAAGAACTTCAGCACGAAAAGAGAGAGTTGGTTATTAAATTGGATACTGCTGAATCTAAAATAGCAAAGTTGTCTAATATGACGGAGGTAAATTTTAATTCCTGATACCAGTATTTTCATGTCACTGATCAAGTTTAGGACAATCTCTGTGTGTTTATAGCTTATAGCTCTTCTTTCTTTATGCATTTACTTTCTATTCTCAAGTTTGTAAAAATATTTTGGAACTATAGTCATATTCTGATTTCTTGTAATTATCAGAATTCTTTTGCTGTTTCTCATGCTCTTTAGTTTCTTCTATTTTGACCAGAGACGGAGCTAAGATTTTGACTTTATGGGTTCTGATTTCTAGAAAAGATTAGCTTACTGGTTCTGGATAAATTATTTATATATATTAAGTAAATTGTGAAGCACAAATACAATGTCTTGAACCAAAGTTAGGTTCTGCTAAACCTTTAGACGGGCTTGTAGCTCCACCCCTAATTTTGACAATTGTGGTTCGCTCCCACCACTGAATTATTGGAGATTCTCAGCTTCTAATGAGAAAGACTGTGTGATGGTTTTGACAATTCCTGAATTGTTTTTGGCATGCTTCTGCAGAATGAAATGGTTGCCCAGGTGAGGGAAGAAGTAACTAATTTGAAGCATACAAATGATGATCTTCTAAAACAAGTAGAAGGACTTCAAATGAACAGATTCAGTGAAGTTGAAGAGCTAGTGTATCTTCGTTGGGTCAACGCATGCTTAAGATTTGAACTTCGGAACTACCAAACACCTCAAGGAAAAGTCTCCGCTCGTGATCTCAGTAAAAATCTGAGCCCAAAATCTCAGCAGAAGGCTAAACAGTTGATGTTAGAATATGCAGGATCCGAACGAGGCCAAGGAGATACAGATCTCGAAAGCAATTTTTCTCAGCCATCTTCTCCCGGTAGTGAAGACTTTGATAATGCTTCTATAGACAGTTCCACTAGCAGATTTAGTAGTTTCAGTAAAAAGCCCAACTTAATCCAGAAGTTGAAGAAATGGGGCAGCAGAGGTGGTAGAGACGATTCTAGTGTTATGTCTTCACCAGCAAGATCTCTTGGAGGAGCATCTCCTGGTAGGATGAGTATGAGTGTAAGACCAAGGGGTCCTCTGGAATCTCTAATGCTTAGGAACGCGGGTGATGGTGTAGCCATCACTAGTTTTGGAACAGCTGAGGAATATGGTTCCCCAGAAACACCAAAGCTTCCACCGATTAGGACACAAGAATCTTCTGCTGAGACACTGAATTCAGTTGCATCATCGTTTACTCTAATGTCAAAATCAGTGGAAGGAGTTCTAGATGAGAAGTATCCGGCATTCAAAGACAGGCATAAGCTGGCAGTAGAACGAGAGAAGACAATTAAGGTTAAAGCTGAGCAGGCAAGAGCAGCAAGGTTTGAGAAGTCCTTGCCTCCAAAACTTGCTCAATTGAAAGAGAAACCGGTATCACTGCCAGGGTCAGTACCAGTTTTGCCGGTGGTCTCCGCCTCTGGTGACTCAGCAGAGCAGTCCGGTGATAGCAAAACCGACTCTCAAGCCGTGAGCAAAATGAAACTTGTTAATATTGAGAAAAGACCTACCAGGACTCCTCGTCCACCTCCTAAACGATCAGGAGGTGGTCCAGCTCCAGCTGGTAATACTGTTACAGGTGGAGCACCTGGAGGTCCACCCCCACCGCCTCCTCCGCCTGGTGCTCCACCACCGCCACCTCCACCTGGCGGAGGACCTCCTAGACCACCACCTCCTCCTGGATCTTTAATGAAAGGAGGAGCTGGAGGTGACAAGGTTCATCGTGCTCCTGAATTAGTTGAATTCTACCAATCATTGATGAAACGCGAGTCAAAGAAAGACACATCATCAGCTTTGATAACTGCTACTTCAAACACATCAGATGCAAGAAACAACATGATCGGGGAGATAGAGAACAGATCCACATTCCTCTTAGCTGTATGTAGAACTTCTCTTTTACTTCTTTGAATGAAATGCATGTTCCTATTATCCCATTCTGACTCAAACGATAATTGTGCAAAACCAGGTGAAAGCTGATGTGGAAAGTCAAGGTGAATTTGTCGAGTCATTGGCAACTGAAGTTCGTGCTGCTTCTTTTACCAATATTGAGGATCTAGTGGCATTTGTGAACTGGCTAGATGAAGAACTCTCCTTCTTGGTATTTCCTCTTGACATTATACCTTCAAATTCCCTATTCCTTAAATAAGACTTATTAATCATCCTTTTGTATGGTGGATATGAAAAATATTGGTTAATTTATCTCTATCAATCGACAAGGACCATGCACTTTCTGCATTATGTACCTGCAGCATCTGTTAACAGTGTGTCTCACTGATTCTTTTCAAGGTTGACGAACGAGCTGTCCTCAAGCACTTTGACTGGCCTGAGGGAAAAGCGGATGCGTTGAGAGAGGCTGCTTTTGAATATCAAGATCTAATGAAACTAGAAAAGCAAGTAACCACCTTTGTGGATGACCCAAATCTTCAATGTGATGCGGCTTTGAAAAAGATGTACAGGTTGCTTGAAAAGTAAGTCTCCAATGATATCTATGTCTCTTGTCTTTAAACTAGAGAATTTAGGTTTGGTAGGATGCAGGGGCGGGGAATCCAGGTAGGGATGAGGAGTTCATCTGATCAGCCTTCGGCGGAAATTACACTGTTTATAAATGCTTAAAATTATTTTTATGTATATATAGTAGATGTTGAACTCCCTATGGCTTCTTCGTATTTTGAATCCCCTTATTGAAAATCCTAGCTCCGCCACCGGTAGGATGTGAAAATGGTTGAGATTTTAAACAAGTTATTCCAGACCATATTGAAACTTCAACTTAATTGGAAGTAGTATCCTTTCATGTGCAGTTGTTCTTTTTTGTTTTTTCATTTTAGATTTATCTATAGCTAACTCAGTTTTTTATTCTGGATGCCAGGGTGGAACAGAGTGTTTATGCACTATTGCGTACTCGCGAAATGGCTGCATCACGATACAGAGAATTTGGTATTCCTACTGATTGGTTGCAAGATTCAGGTGTTGTTGGCAAGGTACGTTCTCATCTAGAAACGTCACTCTAGCGTCCTTTCTCAAGGTTTTTTAACATAAAAGCGCAAACTTTTCCACCAAGAACCATGCTGCAATAAAACCTTAGAATGTGAAGTTTCCACTTTAACATATTTTCACAAATATCAAGAACCTCTGTAGCTAACATACAATACGATTTCACTTCATGGTACATCCAAAAGAAATAAACAAAAGTGTGCAGAGAAATGATCCATTATGTTTTTCCTCTTCTGCAGATCAAACTTTCATCAGTACAATTGGCGAGGAAGTACATGAAACGTGTAGCATCAGAGCTTGATGCCATGGATGGACCCGAGAAGGAACCAAACAGAGAATTTTTGATTCTACAAGGAGTTCGTTTTGCTTTCAGAGTTCATCAGGTATATACACCACACCTGCATTTAGTTCACTTGTTTTAGTAAAGATACAGATTGAAGAATTCACAAGCTTGACTTTGAAAATCCTTCTTTTTTCGTTTTTTTTTTTTCCCCTTTTCAGTTTGCTGGAGGATTTGATGCTGAAAGCATGAAGGCGTTTGAAGAACTAAGGAGTCGTGTTCAGTCACAAACAGGAGGAGAGAATACACAAGAACCATGAGAATATTTGTATTTTGGTTTTGGTCATTGTATATTTCATCATTTTCTCCAAGTATAGCAAACATATTCTATCTTGGACATTTGTACAATTCAAAAGGTTCAACTCAAGGAGAATATCAGATAACACAGATTAGTTTAAAAGAAGTTGCAGGAATAAACATTGTAGGGTAAAACACTTTGAAAACTTCACTAAACAATAAGTGAAATTTGGACCTCCATATTCATCAATTCATGAGAAGGAAATAAAGTGCAGTAAGTTTCCAATAAGATGTTATGTTCTTTGTTCTGCTACAGAAACAAAAGCGAAAACGCGATCTCCTTCAGAGGCACAAGGCAAAAATCCTCATTTCTGTGAAATTTGAGTGTATTACCCTGGTAACAATGAGTGTCAAACGCTTGGATACCTTATTCATTCTAGTCCTGCAAGTTTTCTAGTTGATATAACTATTAAATATAAAGCAATTCGAGAATTTATTCGAAATTAACTTCAAATTTGAAGAATGTCATCCCCAACGACTTGTGAATATGACCATACAAATGGTCTACAAGAAACTTGAGAATTTAATCTGTGGTTGACTCAATCATCACATGGGCATGGACATGGACAACCTCCAATAATTGTTCACGTAAAAACTCATACAATCAATGATGTTACAACATTTGATGTGAAGTGACTCTTTCTGCATGCTTGTAGCTAAATATGTAGGTGAGGTTTCTTGATTTCATCTGCTATCTCATTGTGATGACAAGACTTCTATCTGTAAATTTAGCACCTCCAACCTTCCCTTGAAGTTGAGATGGTAGACGAATCACACGTCTCTGATCACCAGCCTCCACCAACAACTCAGACCCTCCTCTAAACTGCAAATAGCCAGAAATTCTAATTAATTTCACCATATGATTTGGTTTTCAGTAGCATGAATTGTAAGAACATGGTGAGAAAAACAACAACAATGAGCCTTTGGTCATCGTTAGATGTCAAACGCTCTCAACTTGGATAACCAAAGCAAGTTAGATGTCAGTAGAACTTTTCATGTGCTATATTAACAGCAAAAATCTTATCACATCCTAGAACAGCAAGCTAAGAATGTTTTTAATCACTCAACTACATATTATAGTGCTTCATGTAAATGTAAGCATTTGTTTAATGTTTCATAGTCAGTGTTCATTGCAGTTAAGTGAGTCTTTCACCCTGAAGAAGCTGACCACTTTTTGATAATTTCTATGGCAAATGCTTACAGAAATTATCAATTAGTAAATGCTTGTTCTGTCTATTACCAAACTAATATCTATTATCTAGTGAAAATTTTTGTTGCATTGAAGTTCACAAAAGGATCAATTTTTGGCATCATAGTATACACATAATGCAGAAAGGTGAAACAAACCATACTACATACTTGATATAGCTTGATTTCTGATTTGTCAAAACCGGGCATGAGAAGTGTGATGATTTTGTTGGTTGGATCAAAGATAACCGGAGGAATGCTGGCCTTATGAGCTGTTACAGTCAGAAGATTCCGTGCACTCTCGCTATGACTATCCTGCATAATTTTGTCCCAATCTAAATGGGCTCCGACTGAGATATGTGGAACATAAGCAGAAGGTAAAGGTGAAAAGTCCTCAATCGTTGCCCCTACTTCTCCACTCGAATTCAGCGTTGCAAGAGCAAATGCACCAGAAACCTGTGCACCAGCCTGAATTATGCAACCCCAGTAACGTAAAGCAGAAGCCATAGACACAGGGCTGTTTCTATCCACCACAATATAGCAACCAAACCTTTTTGGTTCTGCAAATATTGTAGACCCTCTCTGCAGCATGCAAAATCATTAGAACCTATAGTTCAAAATAGAGTGGCATCTTGAAAACAAATTAGTAGCTGGCGTACCTCCAATACTTTGTCTAGAAGGTCCCAAATTTCTGAACTCATTTTCCCATTCAGATTAGGATTTCTACCGCTTAGAGTCATGGCTTCTTCCGCAAGTCTCAAAAGTGAGGGACTTGCCAGCCTTCCTAAATCAGTTTTTTCAGCAAAATTGCGGAGATATTTTAAGTATAATCTGCACGTGGAAATAGTGATATGATACTCCACATCAGTTTTGGCATAGAGACATAAGACATTTGACAAGTCTTGGAGAAGATCTAACCTTGCTTTGCTGGTCGCACCAATCATCCTAATTGTTTCTTCAGTACTCATGCCATCATATATAATAATGTCAAATTTCTCTTTTTTGCTGTTCTGTTGAACCACATTTTCAAAAAATCCTACAAGCCGCTCAAGTGCTAGGGATGAAAATATGGAGTCCATTCCAGGAAGCACTCCAAGCTCTTCTCCGAACACCTACTACATGAAGAAAGTTACTCAAAGAGCGACTCATCCATTTTCTGGCGAAAGAATGCCAGATAAACGCACCACTAAGTTACATACCCACCCCTTCAAGAACTCCTTGAGTCATATTAAGACGAGCATCTGCTTGCTTCAGTTTATTGAGAGGTTCAAGGAGCATCTGCAATGATAATTGTTCAGCCTAAATGAATTGCAACCAAATGTATATCTCAATATTGCAGGAAGACAGGTGAAGTAGGGGTCAAACAGGAACAGACTTTTGTAGTTTCCAATCTAACGGCTGAAAGATTGTCGTTGCATGTTATTAGGGATGTCCCGATCTTACAATTCAGAAGATATTCAGCTGTCGGATCTTGAGAATGTATCACCAAACAGGTTTTGAGCCCTGCCATTGCATAATGCTGGTAAGAAAAGAAACTTGCTAGTTAGTCTACCTAACTTAATCATATGCAGGAGAGACTGTAATTCCTGATATGATACAGCATTAGTTAAGGTTTAAAGGGGAAAAGACAAGCAGATTCAAGGTTGATGCAGAATGTCGGTTTATTTTTATGTGCAAGTACTAGATGAACATGCAATAATATCAGAGACATACACTGAAAATGAAAGGGAAAAAACAACGAAAACAAGGCGATAGTGCCAAGATAATAAACCACTAAATGAAGAACATGCTGTTAAAATTTATAAGGGAAAATGAAGCCAGAGATGCAGTGATCAATGAATAGTGTTAATATTATGAGTGAGCACTAAATGTATGTGTCATCATCACATACAGAACACAGCTTTTGTCAAGATATCTTACAGAAAAAAAAGTCACCTAAAAGAACAACCTTATGGTGATCCCTCGGAAACAAACTTCTAAACAATTCATGAGGTTTGTTCATTTCCTACCCCCTCCCTTGCACTCCTGGACGTTTTTCAATTCTTTGTTCCACTGCCCACAGAGTCTAAAGGAAAAGAAAAGGGAAGACAAAGTGTAATGAGTTCTCCTTCCGACAAGCAAGAGAATCAACTCGTGACAAGAGAGAATGTGGTTTTGCTCGTGCTTTCCTTGCAGTTTCATGAATAAAAGTATTAAAGTTGGAAACTATGTTGTTTTGATTTTGAATATGTAACTAAAAATTGGTATACCTCCTTGAAGCTATGTTGCTCAGACTCTTCAAAAATGTCAACTGATGCGTGTCGGATTCGCCAAAAGTAGTATATTTTTGGAGAATCCGACACGGATGCAGTATCAAAAGTGAAGAGTCTACGCAACTAAGCCTTGAAGTCAACAGTTTGTAAAGAAAAGACAGTTGAAGACAAATGAACTAAAAATCATGAAAGTAACTGCGATGAAATATCATGACATTCTTCTATTCTGAGGTTTGTTGAATATATTTTGTCTTGACATAAACCTCATAAAGCATAGTTTGACTCATTTAAAAGCACATACTCCAGTCAACGGAAAAACTCAATCTTTGCTTAGTTTTGGCTAACATTCAATTGCTCACTCTATAAAACAAGAAATGGACAAAATTATTCAACTCCAAAACTATATATTCTTTCAACAGTGAGACTGTATAGCATTTAACAACTTTATTTCTTACTTACAGAAAGTTATTATCTTTTCTTGATTTCTATACTCAGAATTTAAGTGTATGAATGTTGACCTTAAAATTCAAGTTTACAGTTCACTCAACTACTTTTCTACGTCGAGTACACCATACAGATTGGGAATCTTCTGTTCTCATCTAACCTTCCTCAATACTAACCATATGCCTTCTACAAGCAAAATTCAATACTAATATACAAGTTCTACATAGAGCAAATGAAAGCAATCCATTTTTTTACATATCCAACAAACAAACAGTTCTTATCCTCTCACAGAAACCAGGGATAGAAAAAATTTCAACTTCAATTCAGTCCCACATGATTAAAGAAGCACCAACAAAGGTTGTCGTGGACTATAAGTACTCCTTCATCCTTAACTAAAGTCTCGTGTTCGAGTCTCCCTGGTTACAGTATCACCTTTGTGAGGGAACGCTTTACCCAATGTGGACTTTCCAGCGCAAATCTGAAATCAATTGACTCCAATGCAGGTTCCGGACATCAGTGGGAAATCCAAAAATGACTAAAGAATCATCTACACACCCCCAAATAACACAACCCCAAGTTTCCAACCAAAACAACAAAAACATCCATCAACTGCTTATAAAAGATTGAACAGAACATAAAGTTAGAATCTTTACAGCAAAATTGACCACTTAATCGACAAACCTGAGCAGCAAAAATGGCAGAAGTAGTTTTCCCAGAACCCCCTTTACCCAAAAAGGTAATTAGCTTAGTGGGTTTTTCATTTTTAGCTGAATCATCACTAGCCATGGCCAAAATCTCCATTCTTGCTCCCCTTCTTCTTCTAGTTTTAGCTGGAGATTCTATCTTTTTCACTGACTGGTTGAAAAATTCAGAATATTGGTTCTTTTTGGTGGAGAATAATGAAGATGCTGTTAAGATTTGCATACTGGAACTCCACATTTTTTTCTATGGGTGAAAGATGTTTAATCAGAGAGTTGCAGATGGCAATTGAATTGAGAGTTTTGAAAGATGAAGGAGATGAGTGAATAGGCTTTTTTTTTTTTTTTTTTTTACCGAATTCCGACTAATTCAAATTCGCTAGGATAAACCTAAGTAGGGCTTTCGGATTTTTCCATATTCATGATTCGAGATTTCGGGTTAAGAGATTATTATCCCCATGCCCCATCTATTGCACCATATGGTTATCTTTATGTTACTAGTCACTTCGTGTAAATTGATGCGTGCCACGTTTGACTAGACATAAAATTTAAAAAGAAATTTAAAATAAATCAATATTTCTGTGATTATAAATAATTTCATAAAAGTAATTTTTTTAAATATAAAAAAAAATATTCTTTTAAAATAAATTAAGATAGAAATAGTATCGTATAAATTGAGACAGAAATAATAACAAAAATAGTTTACCATTTGAGATTAGGTGCAAAATAAATAAATAATATATCCCTTTTAAGTATGTGCATAAACAACTTTTGGCGAAAAACTTAGGAAGCCAAATGTGTTTATTATTTTTTAAAACTATTTATTTTAAAATATAAGGTGTTTAATCAATTTTTTCTCTCCAAATTTCATAGATTTATCCTTATACTAACACAATAAATTTCTAGTAACTCTGTATTATAGTTATTTATATATTCTTGTTTTTTATTTACGTAAACTATATTTTGAAACATTGATTTATTTGTATATATATTACATAAAATTCATTAAAGGAAAAATATATTTTACTTATTTTTAGGTATCAAATCCGAAATCTCTGTAAACAAAAATTTAGGTGGATTTGACTGATTCTAAACATTGATTGAGTCAAAAAGTCAAATTGTTTACTTTGCTCCTTGAAGTAAAATTTAAAAAAATTTCCTTTCAAATAAATGTCAACAAAAAAGATATATAGTACCATTTGAATTTGATTAGTTAAAAGAATTATTAGTTACCTGTAATTAATCAAATAACTTGCCTCAATTGATCACTAGATGGAGTAAACAATGTGAATTTTATGGATGTTTTTGTTAGACTTATTTCACTTTATTACTTATTAACAAATAATATGTATTTTAAGGTAAATTAGAGATTATTTAGAATTAAAAGTTCTCTAAATATATATATAAATATTTTTATAACTAATTACTATTAATTTCTTACATATGATTGGTGCATGAAAAAAAGAGAGGAGGAAATGATCAAATCATCTCAAACGTTTTTTTTCTTGTTTTACCTCACATTTGTTATATTTGTTTGTGATCATTATTAAGAATCGTTATTTTTTATTTTATTTATCCTTATATAATTACATATTCATCATATAAATTATAATACAATGAGCTTTAGAATCTCAATAATATTACTCACAAGTCACATGGATTATTTGGTCTCACAAACTCATTAGAATTAATATGAATTATTTTTTTCCTGCATCAAACACTATATAATCATCGAAAAATTTATCATCGACTTCTCAAGTTTTTTTTTAATATACCTTATTGCCAACAAGTCTTTCACAAATCAAAATACCAAGAGAACAATTAAAAAAAAAAAAAATCTTGTTCAACTAGATTTTTTAAAAAAGCTCATCCAATTCATCTAAATTGGAGAATCCGTTATCAGTATTACATACATCAATAATATAATTATCAAACTGATTCTTAAAAATATTGAAGATAAATTCATCAAAATCGTCAAGATATAATATAACACTCTTTTCTTAATGTCAAAATTAATTCCGATACTTATATTTATGTATTACGTCTTATTTTATTTTTTCAAACGCGATTGAATGAAAAGGCATTTAGCTTTTTATATTCTTATAATTGTTGGAATTTGTGATCAAAAAGTTATAATGCTCCTAATCAATTCCCAAAAGTTGTCATTTTTTTAATTTATGTCTAATGTCTTTTTCATTGTATGAAAAATTAAATTAAACTCCTCTTTGCTTTTCTCAAAAGTGAATGATAAATTAAATATGAATTAATTTTTAGAACCTAAATAAAATAAGAAGCAAACAAACTTTTTGAGAGAGAGAATCCCAAGTTACTTGCATATATGGTTATTGAGTTTTACCCATTAATCATTATTATAACAATAAAATCAAAAAAATTATTCATAACCACATTAAATAACTCTAATAATTGATAAAAAAAATAGTTACCTTAACACGACAATATAGTTTTTAAATACTATTGTGGTAGCGTAAAAGTTTAAAGTTCAACGGCCATATGTGAAACTAACTTAGAAAATTCAACAAAACATATGGAGAAGAAGGAAAACTCATATAGGTGCATCACATACCAAGATACTTGGTGTAGTTCTACAAATGAATACTGACAAGGATATAATATACGCACACTAAGTCTCTACCTCATGAAAGCAAAAGTTTTTTTTATCGATAATATGACGTTTAACCATTTACGTTGCAATAAGTCTAATGTTCTGGAATACTATTATCATAGTGTAAAATTCAATTATTCTAATGTTGCAAAAGTTCAACGGCCACACATGAAATCTGAAGAAGGAAAAATCATATATCTGCATCATATACCATCATACTCAATATAATCCTACAAATGAATACTGGAAATGATATAATGTTCGCAAATTCTATCACTATCTCATAAAAGCACGAGTGCACCATACATTTTGCAATAATTTTCAAATAGAGAGAACATGATCATATTATATAAAACAAAATTTTATATAGATAATTAAATCTAAAATAATTAACAAGCATATTTTAGTAATGGACTAGCTCTTGGTGATCTTGGAAGTTGAGAAACCCTATTTCCAGAACAATCATAATAAATCACACCTGAAAATTGTGGTGGTTTACATTTTTCCCCCATAATAATTGTCTTTTGCCACAAACCTTTTTTATCTCCGGCCACTTCTCCGGCCACTTCACCGGAAACTTCATCGGAAAATTCACCACCTTTTTTGGTCATGTTAGGGCTTAATTGTTGTGGTGATGAAAACCTTGGAACAATTTTGGATTCACTAATAATATTAGTTTTGGATTTTTTTGATGATTTTTTTGCATGTTTAGCACATAGTGCTACAATGGCTATTATTGAAAAAAACAAACCAATTGCTAATGGCATAGTAGTACATAAATTATCACCATTAATTCTTGGTAATAATATTGAACGAACCATTTTAAACAAAATTATGGTATTTTGATAAATTTCAAGTTGGGAGAAGAAGCTAGGAAATGATTAGATGAAGAAGAAACTAATTAAAGAAATGGTTAAATTAAAGTCTTGAAGAGTAAGGAGTATATAAATAGGGGTGGGGGTGGGGTGGGGGAGGGTTTTTTATTTAGATCGATATAAATTTTATGTACAAATATTTATAGATCACTTAAAAGATAATTGCAAATAAGTCTTTGGTACAAACGTTAATTAATAACCTTAATAATTAATGGAAAGCAATATTTTATAATAGGTTAAGATATATTGATAGTATAATTGAACTTTTATATCATTAGTGTATATATCTTAAAACGATATTTTATTTTATGGTGTAGTGATTTCAACACTATAATTGTAGTAGTTGCAAGGTAGGAAAAAAATTTCAACTTTTAATTTTGCGTTGGAATTATTTTAATGATTCAATCATTAAACTTATGAGGATTTATATATACTTTTCTTATTTTATGATTAAGTAAGTCAATTAAAAAAAATTTAAGACGAAAAGAAAAATCACTTTTGTTTAAGAAATTAATTCATGGTTTGTTTCTTTGAAGACTTTTACTAGTAAAGTTTAACAACTAATGAATTTTTACCAAGTCTTTACTAACTCATGCTTTATTAATGTATTATTTTTAATTGCAAATTTATGCTTTGACTAATTCAAGCACTTTTTTCATTTTTAAAATCATTGAAGACGTGTGTATCAATTATTTAAGTTTGGATTAGGTCACTATTAATTTATATGATAGGTTTGCTCATTATTAAGTGAACAATATTCCAAATACATTAAATTAAAAATCACCTACTCTTATGAAAAAAATTATTCCAGAATGTATTGAGTTAATTTTTATGCACCGTTAAGATAAATAATCTTTTATATTGTCAAATCAAGGTAAATAATCTATTATTTTGTCAAATCAACTTTCTTAGAATATATATGATATTTTACTTGTATAAAACCTTCCTAAAATATGATATTTTACTTGCATACAGGTAAATAAATAATCTAATAGTATAAAAATTATTTAAACTATGTTACTTAAATTAAATCTTATAATGTGATTACTAAATAATTAACAACTATCATCTTATTATGGTTGACCATGGCTCGCAAAAAGGAACTACTTATTATAATTTCTTCTTGATTAAGTTTTTATATTAATCTAATCAAACATTTTTTAACTTAATCAATAAAATTCACGAACTTTATAGCGTATAAAGGGGAAAAAAATTGCATTGCAAATAAATACTATTGGTATAACAATTTGTATCCAATGGAGAGGTTCTAAATTCAAATCTTGTATATGAGGTTGCATTTGTTAAAATGTGAAATTTTCTTAAGTAAATCCAGAGTTCATGATGTCCAAACCAAAAAACAATATTGCACGTATGCCTTTCTAATTCCTCTAATATATAATAAGATCATTTGAATATAATTGTGATGTCACCAAGAAATCCTTATATATTAGTTTTTTGTTTGGTGTTTGATACTCGTATTAAAATAAATTTAAATTTGTACATTATAAAATTTCTTAATGCAAACTCTCAATCATATTTTATTTTCATTTCGTAAAAAGCTCTAACTTAAGAATAATATATATATATATATAGACACTAGTCTTAGTGGACTTTTGTTTTGCTAATCATGATGCATGTATTATTATAATTGATACAAATTTCATGTGATTCTACGTGCTTTCCATGATAAGAAATTGGAAAGTTTTATGTTAGTACTAGTAGTTTTTTTTTTTCGTCCATTGTCTTGATACTCACGTTGGAGCTAGAATAAATTTAAATTTGTGCGAGGAAGCCTCACATTAGGGAATAAATCGCTTCCTAACAT